CATGCACCCAGGCATGTTTTTTAACTCCCCATGCTGGAATTTGGACTGTGGATGGTCATGTGGGAGCCAGCTTCTTGTGCATAGGGCTTAACTGGTGCACTATAGGGCCAGCCCCCAGCTCCCTTTCATCTGCTCATCATTTGACTGGTTTTACCAGGCTTCAATAGCATGTCCTTATACAAATCAACGATCTGTTTTACTCAGTAAAATCAATTTTTCAACCACATATGAATATTTGTACTAATTGGTTGGTGTTCAGTGCTGCCAGTCTGAGCAATACATGAAATAGCAGATTTGGCCTAGCCACAGTAGTACACACCGGGTGCTACTGCTTGGCAGGCTGGGGTACCTGGGAGGCCCCAGTTTGATTGTCAGCCCACCCTAAAAACACAAAACCCAAAAATGACTGGATGCAGTGGCTGCTGCCTGCAGTCCCAGCTACTGGGGGGAAGGGAGTTGGCAGGGGGGATCGCAACCTCGCAATGAGGAAGGCAAATGTAGTGAAGTTTATCTGTGAGGCTAAGGCAGGAGGACTGTAACATAATGAGACCCTGTCTTAAAACACACACACACACTAAATTTGATACTTCTCTTTGAAAATTGTAATTTTACAAAAGTAATTATGTCCTACTGTGACATGAATACTCCTTTACAATAACTACAATTACTTTACCTTTAGAAATTATGTGACATGAGATAGAGCAGTTGGTAGCATGATTCAGTTGAATTTCTTTTCTACAGAAAATTGTGTTGAAAGCTGTGTTAATATGCTGATTACCTGAGAGTTTTCCCTCTTCGGAAACAACAAGAACTCTCATAGTTCTCCTATAATCCTAATCATTAAGACTTTAAGAATTTTATTTTTAGGGCCAGCTCCATGGTACAGAAATAATGTGCTGCTCAAGAAAAGCCAGATCTCCCCATGCAGACCACGGTTTGAATCCCCACCCCAGTCAGTGTAAAACATGCCAGACATGCACATGAGTAGCCAAGGGCCAATGGGCTACAGGCTAGAGGAAGAGTGTCACAGCGTGACCAGACGCTGACGGGTGCTCCTCTGTGCATCTTGCATGTATGCACACATACCTTATCATGAATAAAGAAAAACCAATTTAACAAAATTTTAAAGTTTTATGTTTATTTTTTCCATGAGCAAAAGAGACAGCACACCAACAGGATCCTGGCATTGTGGCCTGGACTCAGACTCAGCCAGCCCAGATCATGGCACACACAAGCCTGGTACTTAGGAAGGTCTTCAGATTTGAGTCTGAAACCTTCCATGTGGGTCAGCCTTAAAGAGTGCCACCAGCTGACTCCTGAGAAATGTATTGGGTAGTTTACTTAATTGTCTGGATTGTTCAGATAAACTGTATAGTAGCTTAGAAGTATCATGGTAATATGATATCTTTAATTTGCCTATTTGCATGTAGCAATGTCTAACATGGAATTCTCTTTACAGGAAAAAACAAAAAAGAAAAAGAAACATAAGAAACACAGTAAGAAGAAGAAAAAGAAGGCTGCCAGTTCAAGTCCTGACTCTGCATAACATTAAGAAAAATCAGGATGCCCTTATAAAGAAAGTGCAATGTCTAAGGGAATTTCAACTGTGAAAATTATGACATATTTACTAAAATGCATGAATTTCTTGTTTTTAGAATTATTCCTGGACTTTTCAGTAGCCACTCAGATGCTGCTGTGTAAAAGGGCCACGATTGTTGCCTGCTGCTTGAACATCCGGTTGTTTTACTTTTTTCTTTCCTCTTCCAGTGCTTGATAATTGGGAGATAATACACTGCAGTCATACTAGTGGTTAAGATATTTGGGAATAAAGTTAATATTTTGGACTAGACATATCTAACGATAAGTCACCAGAAACTGACTCTGGATGCATCTTTGAGATGTAATCACTTGGCTCTGATGGCTGATGGGTCTAGTTAAAATTTTTGAAGTAAGGATTACATTGATACTTAGAAATCCTTACTCTGTAGATAAGTGTATTTTAATTTTTTTCTCCCTTGTATACTTTTATTTACCTGGGAAAGGAGCTTTTAGGGTGAGGGTGGGTGGTTTGCTATCTCTTTAGCTAGCAGAATAGCGTGCCTTTGATCTTCATACATCTGATTTTTGTTGACACAGTTGCCATGCTTCTGGGAGGTCAGAGCTGGGTGCCAGCAGTCTTGCCCTTTCTGGAGCTTAGTGACATCCTTCGCCTCTGTCGTATGCTGCTCTGAGTGAACCAGAGAAATAGCCCTTTGCAGCATGAGAAGGCCTAAAGGGCTCCGGGCTTTACCTCCACTTCAAGAATACTGAATATTTTTTAGCATTAAATGTGTTACGTTATTTGAATTTAATTTTGACTACACTTTGGCTTTGGAGAGAAATCATTTCAAATAGACACTGGTACTTTTTGAACTTGATGACTAAAGATTCTAAAATGCATGTTTTCTACTGTTAAGTTTTAATCAGTCAGGAAAGTTTTATGTAACCAGTGATAGTTAACTTTATTTTTTGTATAGATTTTGTTTAGGCTGCAATGTTTAGCTTTTGTTAACTTTTACTCTTGCTGTTTTAAGTTCATTGCTGTGTTTAATGGCATATTTGCCGAGATACTTAGCATGTAAAAAGCAGGATTTTGATTTTCTTTTTCTTTTTTTTAAGGAAAAAAAACCAGCTTCATATTGAAGCTGAGATTTATCATAAAAAAGTTGAGTGGCAGGCCTGGTACGCTGTCTGTCCGGCAAGCGCTCGCGCCGTATAGTGAAAAAAAAAAAACTCTCAAAAAAAAAAAGTTTTGTTGTCTTTCTATATTAATAACAAATTATGACAAGTTAAATTTACTGAAGATTACATTATTGCTCTTCCTGTGTCATATTTTACTAAGATTTTGTGCCTCATATCTCCTGCTGAATTGTTTACTAGGAATGTTAAAAAGAATTGATAAATCATTTTCATTTTACATTTTTATATAATCACGTAACATGAAATATAATTTGATGTACAATTTTGCCTGTTACAAGAGGGTGTGCTAATTATAGTTGTATATGCACAGAACATTTTGGCATGACAAGAGGCTGAATAAATAGCTATTTTACTTAAAAATAGCTGTGTTTTTATCAGCTTCCTTTGTTTCACAAATAAACACTGCTAGGTGTTAAGTAGTAGATAGATAGATAAAGACTTATCCCCAAGTTTTAAGTGTAAAAATAACCTGTTCGTAGGTAAATGTCCTTAAATTTTAGACTTAAAGCTGCATACAATTTTCTAATAAAAGATACCTGTATGCTCTTAAATACACGAAAAGTTCGAGGAATGTTTTATGTCCAAAAGAAAATGTCCCAGAATCACTCTTCGTGAAAAACCTCAGAGATACATTTATTGGGTCATTTATTATTCAAGTTTGCTGTAAACATTAGAAAGTCTAGTTTACAGACTGGTCCAGTTTATGACATTTTTGTTTGACCAGAAATATTTATTCATTTTATTAGACTGTAGGAGAAGGTGATGTGGCAAAAAAAATTTCCAGACTCTGTTGATTGTCTGGGGAAACACCTTTTACATTGTTCCTCTAATGATTTCCTTAATAGTCTGCTAATGAGATATTAAAAGAATATTTGACAGGGTAATGGTACATTTAACCTAAAGTTACTACAGTTTGCAAGTTAATAGCACCTCATCCTCCTCTATCAAACCACCCTTTTTCTTTTCTTTTTTTAGTTTATTTACTTCTTATATGACAGGGACACTCAGAACAGGGCCCTCTTGCCGTGATTCATTCCCTGATTCATCCCCAGCCTCCGCCAGCCAAGATCGTGGACACACACATACCTGGCATGTACAGGGAGATGGTAGGACCCAAACCCAGGACCGTCCCATTTGACTTCAGTATCAGAGCATTGTGTTACCTCTGGGCCATGGTGACTGGCCTGCCCTTTTCCTTTAATAACTTTATATCACATTTTATAAACAAAAGACATGTTACTAGGATAATTATGTTAAGATTAATTTATTGAATAGACATCTGGTATTTCCTTAAGAAAAATTTAGACAAATACTTCTTTTTATTCAACTGTATTTGTCTTATTAACTTATCTTTTAAAGAATTGTTAGTTTCATTTTATTCATTATATTGATTTTAATTTGATCAGAGAAAAAAAAAGTGAGAAAGCAAGCTGCCAGGTCCGGGATTCAAGTTGTGGTCAGCCACGTGCGAGTCCAGCACCTCAAACACCACGCCCACCTGCCATTCCCTGTATTTGCCTTATCTAAAACTCATATATTATTAAAAATTTAAGACTATGATTTCCTAAATTCTAAAAACCTCTTTGGGGACTGGCGGGTGGCATGGTGGTTAAGGCACTGGACTCACCCACATGGCTGACCTTGGTTTGAGTCCTGGACCTGGTGGCTTGCTGCATCATTTTCCCTCTCTTTCATCAAATTGAAAAATAATAAGAAATTTTTTTTCTTTTTTTTTTTTTTTTTTTTTTTAGGAATTTTAC